ACCAACGGTAAACAGATGTTTAAATAACCAAATGGCTGGAATAATGGTAAAGATAATGTTTAAACAACCAAATGGCTGGAACAATGGTAAAGATAATGTTTAAACAACCAAATGGCTGGACCAGTGGTAAAGAGATGTTTAAACATCCAAATGGTTGGACCAATGTTAAACAGATGTTTAAATAACCAAATGGCTGGAATAATGGTAAAGAGATGTTTAAATAACCAAATGGCTGGAATAATGGTAAATATAGTGTTTAAACAACCAAATGGATGGAACAATGGTAAATAGATGTTTAAATAACCAAATGGCTAGAACAATGGTAAATATAATGTTTAAACAACCAAATGGATGGAACAATGGTAAATAGATGTTTAAATAACCAAATGGCTAGAACCTTGTTTAAACATTATCTTTACCATTGTTCCAGCCAGTTCGTTGTTTAAACATCTATTTACCATTGTTCCATCCATTTGGTTGTTTAAACATTATCTTTACCATTGTTCCAGCCATTTGGTTGTTTAAAATTATCTTTACCATTCCAAATGGCTGGAACAATGGTAAAGGGATGTTTAAACAAACAAATGAATAGAACAAAGATAAAGGGATGCTTAAAAACAAGTGAACCACCTGAAAAGATTCCCTGGTGGGTCAGGGGTAAGTTTACGGACTTACAACGCTAAAATCCAGGGTTACATTTCTCGCAGTGGACAGAGCACCGATAACACAGTTCATGGCTTTGCGCTAACAAAACAACACCCGATGAGGCCAGGAAGTTAGAGGAGCTTGTCTCGCAATCTAATGGTCGCGGGTTCGAATCCCGTCACACCATACATACTCGCCCTTTCAGCCGTGTGGGCGTTATAATGTGACAATCAATCCCACCATTCGTTGGTAAAAGAGTAGCCCAAGAGTTGGCGGTGGGTGGTGATGACTAGCTGTCTTCCCCCTAGTCTTTCACTGCTAAATTAGGGGCGGCTTGGGCAGATAGCCCTCGTGTAGCTTTGCGTGAAATTCAAAAGCAACACCTGGAGGGATCTTTCGTTGCAGAAATGTGTTTATTTATTTAGTATGCGCAGCACTTCAAAACACATTCTTACACCGTCGAAAATCTTCTGAACAGCAATAAGTTTTTGAAATTCAAGAAGTGGATGCTTTATTAAATATTATACATGTTTTTTTTTAAGTATTTAACGAAGCAGTTAATGTATTTTTCCAGATTTAGTTATTTTTACTCTCAAAACAAGCAGACGAGAGCTTTCCACTAGGGTCTATGACGTATAAAGCTTGTTGCAATCTGAATATATTATGTCACACGAATATTTCAGAACTGGACGCTATTGAGTGATGCCGCACAGTTGAGTACATAAGGCTATAGAAGAACTGAACGACTATGGTGTCATTGTTTTGTTTGTTTGTTCTTTTAGAGACTTATGTTGATCAGTAATACGAATACCTAAATTTATTTGCTTCATAACTATTAAACAGCTATGAAACTGTTAGCTTAATGACAATTGCCTCGTGGATTGTAATGATAGCCAATAATAATAAGTTGTTTATCAATGTTCTCAAAAGAAATTACTTATCATAAATGTTTTATAAATGTTTGTTTAGTTTAATCACAGAGTTACCCAATGAGCTATCTGTGTTTTGTCCACCGCTAATATTGAAACTCAATTTTTAGAGCGTTATAAGCCCTCGGAGTTATTGCTGAGCCACCGGGATGGGGAAGGGGGGGGGGGTAATGTTTCATGTTACACAAAGGTTAATTACGAATGTAACAATCGTGGTAGGATTAACCCATTTAATACTAAAAAGGTCTTTAGAGCAAGTTATTTATTAATGAGGTTTTCTTTTTCAGATTAGAAAAGAATCAAACAAAGGCCTAATTAACGAAACCTCGAAATAAAAAATGCTGAACAGCCGAACCCCCTTCATTTCAAACCATCAAATAAGCTATCACTAACCTGTTCGTACCACCATTTTAATGTCATCAATTTCGCTGTCAACTCACGTCCAACTTCATTGAAATTCCACGAAAATCATTCGGCGACGTTATGGCTAAGAATGCATAGTCTTTATCAAGGAAGAAACGATAAGTCTGGGTGGTTGCATGGTTTAGAGGTTCGTGTCAACTTATACGCGTCTGTTTGAAAAGTATGCTGTTTTAGGCGGCGTTTTTTTATCACTAAAAGTAACGTGAATAATAGGTGTCACTTCTCGTTAGTGAAGTAAGGCAACAAGTGGTGGATTTTCTAAACTATAATACCTACAAGAGAATCAAAACCAGTAAGGTTTTCATATATAGTAAACAACTCTGGTTATACCTTACTAATATCAGAATATCTTCTTTTCTATTTTTTCAAAAATGTAATAGTTTAAAAAGTGGCTGGAAATGAAGTTTCCACTGTCAAAAGTTTTTCTTCGCGGTAATATTAATAAATTTGAAAATATAATATTGAAACTCATTTCAAAAATTATGTTTTAAACAATGAATACTAAATGATTTATTTTTATTAATTATATAGATATGTCCTCTTACATGTCTTTGACTGTTACTAATAAGGCTTGATATTGCAGAAACCTAAGAATTTCAACAATGCCTTTCTAGAGTTTATCTGACGGTGGTTTGACAGATAGGAGAGTTCTGAGAATAACTGTTCTGTCAGACTGTTGGCAGTCTTAGTATTAATACTTTAGTTCAAAGATTTGCTATATAATATTACGTCAGTGTATTAGTCGTTTTAGAAATAAGAGTTTGTTTATTTGTTTCTAGTTAAGCACAAAGCTACACAATAGGCTATCTGTGCTCTGGCCACCACGAATATCGAAACCCGTTTTCTGGCGTTGTAAGTCCACAGACATACCGCCGTGCCACTGGAGGGCAATAAGAGTTTGATCCAAAGATTTTCTGTATAATATTATGTCAGTATGTTATTTATGTTAAAAAATTTTTCAGAGTGTTGATTGTCTCAGGATTAAGACTTTGGTTCAAAGATTTGCTATATAAGTATTATCTTGTGCAGTCTGTTGGTTGTCTTAGCATTAAGACTTTGGTTCAAAGATTTGCTATATAAGTATTATCTTGTGCAGTCTGTTAGTTATCTCAGGATTAAGACTTTGGTTCAATGATTTGCTATATAAGTATTATTTTGTGCAGTCTGTTGGTTGTCTTAGCATTAAGACTTTGGCTCAAGGGTTTTCTTGGTAATATAATATCAGTATGTTGGCTGTTTCTGAATTAGGACTTTATTTCAAACATTTTATGTAAAGCTATTATATATAAGTGTCTGTCTATTGATGATTGCAAAACGAGATTGAAACCAAATATTTTCTACACAGATGGTTAAGACTCTACGACGATAATAAAATACGCATCATATAATTTTACATTTTCCCGGTGGGACAGCGGTTAATCTACGGACTTGCAACGTTAAAATCCTGAGTTCGATTCCCTGCAATGAACACAGCAAATAGCCCAATGTGGCTTTGCTGTAAAACAAACAAATAATTTTACATTGTTTAAAGCTTGGCATTTACATTTGACAGTCAGTCTTCTGCGTGGAAAACAGTCGGGTTAAGGAAACTCCTAATTGACTGTCTGTGAACTGTGAGGACACTCACTTTGACAAGTGCAGCTCTTTTCAAACGATTTTATGACATGATGAAATATTTATAAAGAAAATGCAGTTAATACTGACATCATATTTCAACTGGCAACTTACGAGAGTTCTTCCTAAGGCTTTATTGGTAAAACGTTTCCGTTAAAGTTATTAAATTATTTCCAAAACTCTCGATAGGTTAAAATTACAAATTCAAAAATCACACTTATATTTAATATCAATGTAAATACGTTTATTTTGACAACTTTCAATAACATTCAAAATGAATATACTGTAGGACAAGAACACAAGAAAATATACACTTTTATTTAAAGAATAGAAAAACGATCACATGTCATTACAAAAGTTAATGGTATTTTTATGACACAGTAGACGTTGTAATCGAGTTTCTGAATAAGATAAGCGTAAATGTGCGTACAAATAAGTTTTTTTCTTCTCTTGTTTGGGCCGTAATGGCTTGTTCTTCATGTCCTAATCAAGATTCTGATGGGCGCCCAGTTGACTTGGTTGAGTTCCTTTTTTATTCAATGCTCAAGTTTGTTTTAAATTTAGTCGTAAATAGGTTCGTATGAAAAATGTTTAAGTTATAGTCACAATATAGCAAGATAGAAACATCAAACACTAGTAGTGCTAACGGGAAAAATAACGAATTTTCATGTGTAGAATATTTATGTGGGTGTATCCAAGCAACTTACATAGTAGGAAGTGATAGGCCACTCTGCACGATATTAGAGAACATTTGCTCAGATACTGTAATATTTATATTTATAAGGCAGTAGTGTTCGTGTGTCACACTCTCTAGAATGTAATGGTGAAACAGAGAGAATAATTTGTTTGTCTTGGTCGGGCGTGGGTTGGCTCTGTGGTCGAACTTTGGATTTCGGAGCTGGCGAGCCGGGATCGGATCTGAGCATTATAACAAAATATTTCCTGCCATTAAGCTGCGTGTGCGTTACAAAACTGACAGTCAATCCATTAGCATGGGTGGTGGGGAGTGGTAGAGTGTTTTTGACTAGATTTCTAGTTCAAAATTAAGGACGGCGGCAAATTGTCTTAATAACTTTGTCATAAATACAAAATAATTCAAATTGTTTTAGTCTGGGGACGTGAGCTCTGGTGTGCCATGTCAGGTAGATTTTTCGTTTTGCCATAAAGTTGAGAGAAATTGGCTAAAAAGTTCTCACAAGTGTAAAAAACGATAGGGGGGTCTGGTTGCATGCGACTATTTCAATCCAAAAATTGCTAATACTTCATCAGAGGAATGTAGACTATGTAGAAGATATTAAATACCATAAGTAGCTGCAATATAACTATACAATGTCATCAATGTATCTGAATCTCTGTTGACTTGTAAAACTTTATGATAGCTTCTGTTGAGAATACGTGTGGTGTATTGAGGCCCGTAAGCAGAATGTTTGAAAGATGGTTCTAATTTGTGAGATCAAAAGCCAATACAATCAGCATGCAGAACATGCTAATGCTACGGGGGATCTGCATGCCCCTCAGAAAAGTAGGTGCTATGAGATTAAACCAGGAAATAATTTTGTATGAAATATAGTTTAAACAATTGCATTGCTGTTCACATAAAATCCACAAACATCCAATGAAAAGTTGACAAATCATCATTCTGTTGTAACACTGCATTTGAAGCTAGACTTAAATTAGCATAATTTCTTTACATCACAAAAATCGGGGGTTCGGCTGAACCCTCTGGAACCCCCGCCTGCGTATGTGCATAACCATCCTTCTGATATTTAAAGAAGCACCTGAATGGGGTTTCAGTAGGAAACATTAACAAAGGTAGGGGCCTTACAATAGTCATAATCTTTATCAAGACTGATAAATCAAGTGGTGTTGCAACCAGGTTTATATTATTACCCATTTGGTTTGCTTTTACATCGAAACTGTGTGATTGTTTTTACTCTCTGGTCGGACCTTCGAGAAGACTCCTAAATGGAACCAAACATGAGTCTTCTTTTTAGAGTGCAGCTTCAATTTCTTTCACTTCTGGATACAAAAATTATATGCATGTAACAAAAATGCTCTACCATGCTAACTAGGTATTAGAAACTTGAACAGGACATATAGCGAAAACAAGTTATTATATACGAAACAATACAAGTCGTAGACCTTATTGCTATACTAAGACTTTTCAAATTATTTTCAGGAAGGTTTGGAGGTGCAGTGAGCTTCTTATAAGCTTAAGTACATGTTTGCTTTTGTTTTACAAATCTGCACCTGGCACATGCTGCTCACCCTTCTTGAAAGAGGAAACAAAATAGGAATAATAAGTTGATAATACTGAGAAACTCTCGCACTTTATCAGTATAATGTTGTTTTTTTTCTTTTGAACAGATAACACGATAAAAAACAACAATAAATTATCTTAACATTAAAAGAAAAAGATATGGATACGATAAATTACGGATTTATCTCTAATCAGGGAGTTAATAATCACAATAAAAAAATGAGTTAAATGAGGGAGGTTAACCCTGAGTGAATGTTCCTGATCTACCCTGTTAAAAATTGTAGTTCAACACAACACTTGGAAGAGTATCGTTTCTCGTGCCAAAAAGTCACAACACATGGCCATTTAATGGCTAAAATGCTTTTATCATTGTAAGGCGAAAGTTACTTTGTTAAAAACGAACAGTATGACATAATGGAATAGAACTACACATCATGTTATCGGTACAGCGTGTGAAATAAAAAGGCCCATTTTCTTAACTTGCACCGAGTTAAAACTTAATGGTTTATGTTCATAATATGGCTAAGTAATTAAATTGATTTATTATACAGAACTCCTAATGCAGATAACTGTTGCTAAGTAACTAAAGTGATATATTATACAGGACTCCTAATAAGGATAACTGTTGCTAAGTAACTAAAGTGATTTGTTATACAGAACCTCTAAAGCCTATCTACTTCTAAAGTGTAAAAACATATTATATGATTTCTTCTTATGAAATGTACTGTTCAAGTTATATTTTGTTAGTATTCGTGCAAGTATTTGTCAGAGAAGAAAATAAAACATAGCCAATATACCCTGACCACCGGGAGGAACACTTTTTTTTTGTTACACAACGTTACCATACGTAAGTCTTAGTTAACTTTATCATTGCATTTTTCTTTATTACTAGGTATTTTGAAAGAGTTATCTCACCAAATGATTTTCACTTGGCTGTAACACTAAACAATTTTATTTTGTTGTATCACCAAATAATTTTCACTTGGCTGTAACAGTAAACGATTTTATTTTGTTGTATCACCACATGATTTTCACTTGACTGTAGCATTGAATTATTTCATTTTGTTGCATCACCAGATGGTCTTCATTTGGCTGTAACACTGAATGATTCTATTTTGTTGTATTAACAAATGATTTTCACTTGGCTGTTACACTAAACAATTTCATTTTGTTGTATCACCAGATAGTTTTCATTTGGCTGTAACACTGAACGATTTCCATTTTGTTGTATCACCAAATGATTTTTTACTTGACTGTAACACTGGACGATTATATTTTGTTGTATCACCCAATGATTTTTACTTGGCTGTAACACTGAAAGAATTTATTTTGTTGTATCATCAGATGATTTTATGTGCTGTATCGGCGGATGATTTTACCATTCATTTTTCCTGGGCTATGTTACTAAATGATTTTACTTGGCTGTAGCAAAATATGGTTTCACATGGCAGTATTACTAAATTATTTTAATTATTTTTTTACAAAATTATTCTACTTGGCTGTAATAACGCGTTAGCTTACTTGACTGTATTACTAGGTTATTTTACTTGGTTGTACTACCAAATGATTTTCATTGGATGTGTTATTTTCTGACGGTCAACAAATGTAATTCAACAGTTGACATTACCATTATTGATAAAAAAAAATTGATCTGCTCTGTTAGGCTTCGTTTTTCTATCATCCTGAAGTAACAAGAGAGAGAGCTAGTTTTCTACTTTGTAGTTACAGCCTTTCACCTTGTACTTTGCAAAGCTTCAAGTTCTGGGACTTCGGGCTCTTCATTTGTTTTCTCCTCGCTAGGTGGTTTCCGTTTGTTGTTTTCATCAGTCATAATGGACGACTCTAGCACCACCACTACTCCCATGATGACAACCCATAAAATGGGTAAACTAGTCTGCAAATTATATTAGAAATAAAAATGAATTGGGGATTATTTATAACACAACTTTTGTAATGCTCCTAATTCAATAAATTTGCTATTGATAAGACACTTTTACGTAAGAATAGAACCAATATTCAAATTACAAATGTGGCATTTTAGTGAATGATAAACATCCTCGAGATTATAAGGATGTGCATCCGATAGTTCATGGTTTGCGTTCCATTGCTGCAAAAACGCCTTATAGAAAGGTGCCAATCTTTAGTTCTAGCACCTAAAAGACAAAAGTTACACCTTCTTTTCAGTGCTTAAGTAACAAAAAATTAAACCTTAGCTTCAGTAACACAAAGGAGTCAGTCTTTAGTTCTAGCACCTTACTTTTAGTGCTTAAGTAACTAAGAGTTAAATCTTATCTTCAGGTTTTAATATATAGGAGTCAATCTGTAGTTCTAGTACCTAAAAGCCAAAAGTTACACCTTATTGTCAGTGCTTAAGTAACAAAAAGTTAAACCTTAGCTTCAGTAACACAAAGGAGTCAGTCTTTAGTTCTAGCGCCTTACTTTTAGTGCTTAAGTGACTAAGAGTTAAATCTTATCTTCATATTTTAATGTATAGGAGTCAATCTGTAGTTCTAGTACGTAAAAGCTAAAAGTTACACCTTACTTTCAGTGTTTAAGTAACAAAGAGTTAAACCGTAGCCTCTGTGACAAATACCCAGGGATTAATTCTTGTTGGTTTTTTTGTGACAAATACCCAGGATTCATTTCTCGTTTTTATTGACTTATAGCCAAGAGTTAATCACTGTCTTTAGTGACTAATAGCTTATAAAACCTATATGACTATTAATAACATACCTGAAGCCAAAACCCCCAGCTGTGAGCGTACCACACGTTCATGTCCACAATCAACAACAGTCCGTAGGTCGTCTGTAGCTGATGTACTAGTTCTTCCATGTTTCCAGAGATATACACAACAGGCACCACAACTGAAACGGCTCCTATCGTCAGTAATATGAAAACTTGGTAAGAATGAAAGCATCGTCAAAAATCAGAAAACGAACCAACGATTACTTTACACTAACGTTTTATTCAAGTTACATGTAAAACGTTTTAAAGTGAGGTTCATTTGATGAACAAAATGTTTAACTTTTAGGTTAATGTATAATATTATAATATGTTTGTTTGAGTTTAACTTTACTGTCGCTAAAAGAAAAGTTTCCCAACTGATAATCAATGTATTCTAATAATTATAAGTATGATGACGAGTAAACCAATTTGAGACTAATAAAGGTTGGAGATGGCTTGAACCGGTAACATAGAAATTTTATTACAAATTTAACATAGTAACAAATGTAGTACGTTTCGACAAGATTTTAACGATGACATTTGTTACTATGTTAAACTTGTAATAAAGTTTTCTTCGTCACCCATTCAAGCCGTCTCCAACCTTCATTAGTCATTATAAGTTTTTGTTTTCTGACGCTGCATATTCCTTATTACAACGGTATATTACATTAGCTATGTTAATTACTGGGTTTATTTTACTTCTGCTCTATATGTAGGTAGCTTGCTTTGATCAGAATAAATGGTCATGTGCATGGGCGTTAGAATTAGATTCAAAACAGCTAGAAAAAATACACGAGAATAAGCTATACAAGTCACTGTTTCAAAACTAATAAGTAAACTTTGATGTTATTTTGTTACGCAAATCTTATTATTTTTTCACTTTGAAAAAAGGTTTCAGACAGTCGAATCTAACAGCTAATTACTTCTACAGCTTTCTTCATCTTTCGATTTTATAGCCTAGCTGCAGTTTGAATCTCTTTATGTTTGGTATGAGTTTCTGTACATACACACTCACTCATTTATCTTCTCACTCTTTTCTTGCAAAAGTACGATTGTCTTTGAATATCTTTCCAGCTAATTCTAGAATTCGTGTGGTGAGAAAATTCGACATCCTAACTCATCTAGGCCTAACGTAAGAACTACTAGCAAATGGAGATTCATACGGCTTCGTGTTAAGACCAAAACCTAAACCAAACAAATGTAAAGTTAATAATGGCTGGAGACGGCTTAAATGGGTAATAAAGAAAAACTTTAATATAAGTTTAACATGACAGCAAATGTACAACGTTTCGACAAGGTTTTGTCATCATCAGGTGTAAAGTTATGCAAGACTCCGCGTACATCGATGAGTGTTAGCAACTTGACTCCTTCTCTTTTTCTAGTCTGTCATAGCGCATTATTACCTAATATAGGCTTAGTACACTTCCATAATCACTATCCACAAAACAAACTTATATCTACTTTCTGTATAAAAATTAAATGTATAACCCAAGAGATTACTTATCATGTATTTTTAATACTAATGACTTAAGGTTAACGACATCTGTGTATTTATTTATCTATGTTTTACGCTAATAAAATAATTTGTTGATTGGTTGATTCCAAAACAAAGCTTTCCAGTGCTCTTTAATTCTGAATAGAGATTTGAACTCCTTGTAATATGTGGAATCTTAACTTCCCACCAGCGTGGCCGAACACGTGTTAGTTTCTAGACTATGAAGGGGTAAAACCCATTTAAATCTCATACAGTATTAGCTGCACATGTACAGTACAAGATCGGGTTTCTCAGCTCTATCAAGCTGTTTTATTCGCGGTTTTCACGAGTTGTCTTGATAAAGATAGTCGAGGAAGGCTCAATGAAGCCTGTTTGTCACATTAAGGTGGCTACGTGCAGTGCCTGCCTGAATATGAATACTACTAATATCTTGTGCTAGAGGAACGCAGTCCCTAAACTCTGCAATTTTTTTTTTTTTTTTTTTTTGTGGCCGAACACTACTGGGGGGCGAGTTCTTTTGGCAGTAAAATGTTGTTGTTCTTTTTAGGTTAACAAATTGATTCCTTTATTGAGATACATTTGTTTTTGGTTCTAACTTGAATACTGGAAACCGTGACAACCCCTCTGTAGTCCACCCAATCCTCCTCTCAGACTGGGTGTTCAAGTTTACAACTCAAGCCTTGAAGAATTAGTTTACTGCAGCCTGATGCGCTTGAAGTAGGGCTGATTTTTTGCTCCCAGTGTACGTTATAGACACTATAAACTCTAACTACAAAGAATCGTTGAGATGTGGCAATACGAAACATAACCTGTTATCATCATGTCGAAATATTTAAACATAACTCAGAGTAAAGAGTCTTTATTTGAAACTATTTATAACAACCATTGAGATGTAGCAATACGAAACACGTAACCTGTTTCAGGTGGATATATTTAAACATAACTCAGAGTAAAGAGGCTTTATTTGAAACTGTGTACAATAACTATTTTCCTCGATGGTGTTTGCTATTTCACAAAAACAACAAGTATATCGTCGTTGTCATATCGTTGTCTAAAAACTTTACAGATTCAGAACTACTTGGATCTGAAACTACAAATATTAGGTCACGTGATCTACAAAAATCAAAAAAATTATGGGAACATTTCCAAATAAAAACCTAACCCTGAAAAGCTTACTTAGGCGATTCTGACGTGACAGCGATGACATACTTTCACTAACAACGTGTCAGCCACTACCGACAAAGATGTCATTTACGCTTACGTCGTATATTTACCAAGACTTCTACAGCACATTGTGCTATCTGTCTTTCTTTCGCATATATATATATTAATGATTTAACTGATAGGGTTATCGTATAAAATCAATGTACTTATCTGTAAAATATACCTACTGACAACCTACTGGTCATTCTAAACGTAATGTTTTTGTTTTCTTTATATGACTACTTTGTTATATCATTTTAGAAAAGAAAACACTGAGATAAAACTAAACCTTTCTAAAATAAAGTACTTACAGGACAATAAAGTTAAACTAGTCGTTCAAAAACACTAACTGCCTGCTAGGGATGGAGGTGTAATATTTACGAATTTTTCAATCTGGATGTTTCCATCTCTTGGAGTTTGAATTCGAAAATTTACATTTTTACAACTGAATAAAAAAATCGTTTAACCTTACGAGTTTCGAACAAAGGCCCTTGCAATATTTTTGTGAGATTGGAGTTCAGAAATATAAATATTTGTTAATATGTCTAAAAAATATGCACGCACATGTGGGATCATTTTCATTATCTACATCAGTAGCTGTCATGTTAAACATTGACATTGTATATCAAATATAATTAACTTCAAGTAATGTGGTCATTTCAAACATTCAGTACAGAAATAGCTTCATATCTGGATACTTCTACCTGAAGTAATATTAGCTGTGGCACATTCATCATTTATTTTCTGATATTAAGACAAAATGTGTTCATAATCACTATATGTGTTTCTTCTGTCCGTGCTAGAAACGAAGAAAATAAAAAGTCTGTGACAGGTATGTAAATACGTGTCTTTGATTGCAGGGAAATTCACGAGGCGAACTGTATGAGATAGAACTTGTGGCCTCGTGCAAGCTGACGTCAAGCCTTGATAGACAGATCACGAAGATACTATTAAATAAAATAGACATCCCTTTCGGCACAGATGTAGGTAAACAAATCTCGTCACACTGCTACCTGAAGAGCCCGCGCCTGTAATTTTTTACTGTAATACTTAAACTGAAGCTATATTTTCAAGGTCTGGATATTGGTTAACTTTCAAACAGATTTATTCCTCGTTTGTTTGTTTTTTTTATCATCGGGATTTGCTGCTGCCGGAAGTCTGGTTTTGTAGAAAACCACGCGGGGTTAGAGCGCGTGCAATCGCACCTGTATTTTGCACGTGCGGTATGACGATAGTTCGCCATGAACCTTTGATCATAAATGAATTCCTTAATAGGAATGCGGATGTGACGTCATAGCTTAGTCTGATATATCATGTTATTTGGACCTTTTGTCGACATTGATCAAATACTTCGTTTTCTTTATGATTGTTTTTGCAAGTTATTCAAGGTTTTGTTTTGTGTATATTAAAGCTCACTTCGCTACTCATATATTCTTCCATTTGTATTTTAAAACCAGCAACATGTTCAGTGGTTTATATTAAAAAAAGCAAAGGTCTTACTTTTTTTTTATTTCAGAATCTATTAAGAGGATTAAAGTTTTACGAGTAAGTTTTGTGACTGAATATTTAATAATTGCCTTGGAATGCTTTTACTTGTTATTCCAATAGCTTATTAGATCACTCGTACTTGAGTCATTGAAAGGCTAACAAATCTGCAACTTACAAGCCCATACCGGATCCATTCGTTGTAGCATTAGAGAATGGTAAACGGTTTTTACACTCATTAAAGGGTGTATATATATATATATACTTAAAGTTAAAATATCTTAAATACTTTCTAAAATGACAGATCCGGTATAATATTCGCTAGAAAGCTGAATAGCCAATTTATCACGAGGTCAGCAACGCTCGAGGGGAATTCCCAGCTCATAGCGTAAGAAGGATAGTTTCTTTGTGAAAACTGATAATTACCTGCCTTGAGCTAACCGTAAGCTAATCTCAACAAGTAACAAATCTGTTACAATTGTTAGATTATAACTTAGTTGGAACAAGCTACCTTTCTCTTCCTGTCTCAATTAAACACTTGTAATAATTAGCGGTTAATTCAAAAAATTAATAATATACTGTGTTAAAATAAGAAAACTAAGAACGTAGTTATAAAAATCCTAACTGATAAGTGTTGTGGTATAAATAAAAACTGATGAAAAATTACACTTCACCAACTTAATCCAGTTTACACTTCACCAACTTAATCCAGTTTACACCGTCACCAACTTAATCCAGTTTACACTTCACCGACTTAATCCAGTTTACACCGTCACCAACTTAATCCAGTTTACACTTCACCAACTTCATCCAGGTTACACCCCTTACCAACTTAATCAAGTTTACACTTCACCAACTGAATCCAGTTTACACCGTCACCAACTTAATCCAGTTTACACCGTCACCAACTTAATCCAGTTTACACTTCACCAACTTAATCCAGTTTACACTTCACCAACTTAATCAAGTTTACACCGTAACCAACTTAATCCACTTTATACTTCACCAACTTAATCAAGTTTACACCGTCACCAACTTAATCCAGTTTACACTTCACCAACGTAATCCAGTTTACACTTCACCAACTTAATCAAGTTGGTGACGGTGTAAACTGGATTAAGCTGGTGAAGTGTAAAATGGATTAAGTTGGTGAAGTGTAAACTTGATTAAGTTGGTGACGGTGTAAACTGGATTAAGTTGGTAAAGTGTAAACTGGATTAAGTTGGTGACGGTGTAAACTTGATTAAGTTGGTGACGGTGTAAACTGGATTAAGTTGGTGAAGTGTAAACTTGATTAAGTTGTGACGGTGTAAACTGGATTAAGTTGGTGAAGTGTAAACTTGATTAAGTTGGTTACGGTGTAAACTTGATTAAGTTGGTGAAGTGTAAACTTGATTAAGTTGGTGAAGTGTAAACTGGATTAAGTTGGTGACGGTGTAAACTGGATTAAGTTGGTGACGGTGTAAACTGGATTAAGTTGGTGACGGTGTAAACTTAATCCAGTTTACACCGTCACAGTTGCTCAAGCAGTTTGCTAATAAATATGGCGTCTCAATCACGACATTTGTTTGTCGTATCCCAAACGGCTTGGAGATCCCTGGTATTTGGCGAAAGACCTACTCGGCATTAGATGTATCAAATATTTTGTGGTTGATATATCACATTGTTTTTCACTTGGAGGTTTAATATTCACAAAGACTACTCAAACTAGCCACCAAACAAGCTTGATACGTGGATAACCGCTTGTAGTCGTTGTATACATCACGAAATAATTACTCAACCGATGTCAGGTAAAATGTTTTTCTACATGTTGCAGTTGCAAACTGTGTATAATCTTCCTATATCATTTACAAATCATTCTATAAACAAGAGGAAGTAACGTTTCGTTGCTAAATGATAGTCGGTAAATGTGGAAACTGCTAATGGCCAACTAATACGAACAATATAGGATCATATACTGTAAGCAAATATTAATCATTAATGTTATATACATGTCAATTGCCTTTGATATTAATAATAATTCCTCAATCAATAAAAACGAGTAATTTGAATACATTATTAAGCGTAAAAAAAAAGTGAAATTGTGTAGAACGTATGTCATCAGTTATTTTATGGGAAAATTAGTTTGCTGTTATGGATTTTAATATTCTGTTTCAATGAAAATGTCAGTTTAAATATGTTATTTAAATCCTAATTCTCAATTGCTTAGCTAATTATATCATATCTCTTGTTACTTTAAGTGTTACAAAAATACTTTGTTCGTATTGTGATCTGTATTTGAAATAACGATTGTTCTAATGGTATCAACTGTTTGTTCCCAAACTCGTCTCTAGGGTTTGAGAACATGCGTCCAGAAGAAACTTGTATGTTGAATATACGAGTAAATAATGAGAGAGTAGCCGTTAAAGCACGCTCATTAGAACAACGTATTTCGTCAATTTTGTTCGTTGTACATTAATATGAACAAATTATACTTCTAAAGAAACTGACGCAGAGAAGGAGCGTCCATGTAATTTGATAGATGGACGAACATTTGGGTGGGTGGACAAACAGAAAGGTGGACGGATATGTGGGTAAAGGGACATACAGAGGTGGACATATAGACGTAGAACTTCACGTCAATAAATCAACCATACTTCTTGAATGAAATTATTCTATGAATAAAAATGCTTAACTTCTAGTGCTAGGATAATTTCACAGCCTCTGGTTGGCAAGTGTAAATGGAGTTAAGAGTATCTCTCTCTCATGAAGATAAGTAGAGCTTTTAACAATCAGTGTAATGGAGGTAATAGATATTTCTCCCCCCATGATTCCACGTCCAGCAGACGAGATAAGAACCTAGACTGGTATACTGATGGTTATATATTTAATTCACGTGAGCTCGGCCTCCAACTGTGGATCTAGTCATTTGTAGCTAACGATAACTAACCCGGAGACCGCCTTGAGTATCGACACATGGCAACGCAATCTCTGCGTGCTGTAGATATTACCACATCTACAATTAGCTTTAAATCATCAGCAAAAAGTCTCAAAAAATGGATATCCATGTAACATTGGACACTTATGAATGTAGTAGAAAAAGTCTTCGAGACTTAGTAGCAACAGGTTGGTGGTTATATCCCTAACCAAAGAACAACAAAATGACCATTAACACAATATATTTGTTTGTGAATTTTTAGAAACAATATTCGTATCATAAAAGTTACATATGTATA